CCATCACCGCTCCATCACTCTTATACTTCCTCTTCCCTTCTTGCTCTTCTATGGTCAGTCTAAGTCTAAAGAAGTTGGTAACATGTGGGGTTATCCGGTCCTTTAATGATATCTCAATTGATAGTCAATAGCCATTTCAGGTGCCTCAATTGGAGGTACCTGTCATATATAAGGCCTATGTTATGTACGGGCTACGTAGGGGGATCTACCCCCCAAATATGGCTTTATGTGGTTCTGTACTGTACCGCCATTTTAGGATCCTGGAATTCCCATTGAGAAATCGGGTCAATATCATGGTTGATAACTATGTAACACATCATATGTGCTCACCTCATGGGTGCAACTATTGTGGCTTGAAAAATAGTGTACATTCACATGTATGTACAAATAATATATTATAATACATGTGTATACAATATATATATATATATATACATCATATAATTCCAGTGAATGTACATAAGTATGTAGGTAGGCAGGTAGAAGGTGCTGTGTTGCAGAGTTAGCAAAATGATGTAAAAATGACAAGGATTACTTGGGTTTATCGCGGTTATGACTAGCTAGATGGGTGAACATAAAGCAACAACCATAACTATGTGGCATCACCTTAATGGGTATCGGATAAATCACAATAAACCCCATCCCCTTGAAACTCTGGGAAACATTATGTCTTGGATCTATTGTTTGGTCCCTGGAATGGGTGTGCTGCTTCAATCATTGATGGCTGGGGATGGACCATGCCTTGGTCACCATGAACATGAATTTGAGTCCCATTTGGGTCCCATTTGGAAAAATGATGTCCTATAGCCTCTGGTAATGACTAACATAGCTATTGAAAATGGCCATTGAAAATAGTGGATTTACCCATTGAAAACGGTGATTTTCCACAGTTATGTTAGTTTACCAGAGGGTAGATTTCCCAAATGGATTTCAGAAGAGAACCATTGAACTTCGATCAGGCGACGCCAGCGGCGGGTAGAGGGACGTCATGCGAAGAGAGCGCCATGGAAGGGCACCGCGGCCGCTGATGGTTAGCCCTAACCTGTCATTACCATATGACTGGGGGAATTAACATCATTAACCAGCCACTTTAGGGTAACTAGGGTACGAGGGTTTTGACTCATAGCCGAAACTCTTTTCGTGGCAGACCTGCAGTGTTCCATGACTTTAGGCTTTAGGCTTCAAGGGATGCATTGGAACTCTCCGTGTTCCATCAATGATTACCCTCTGGTAATTTAACATAGCTATTGAAAATGGCCATTTATATTTCATTTAATTACCCATTAAAAATTTTGAATTTCCATATATAGTTATGTTAGTTTACCGGAGGGTATCTTATACCATCATCACTGCTGCATCCTCTAATGTTTCCCTCGGAGAAATGCATTGACTCTGACAGTTTTCCCTTCCACCTCTTCTGGCTGTGAACGGCGGCTGTGAACGGCGACATCAGGCAGCGTTTCTCCGTGGCCGAAGTATATTTGCCAATTTCATGGGTCCATGTAGAAAGAATCAAGCCTTGGAGTTGAATTTTGCAGTCCCACTATATTTGTTCAAAAAGTATTGGATATTTGAGATGCTCCAAAACAAGGATTCAAATGAGGCCAGTTCTGAAGTGGATCTACCCAAAGACTCTTGCCGGAAAAAAAACACCTAAAAAGGGGGAAAGCATCAACAAATGGATGTAAACAAGGGATCTTGGATTGCCAGGTCAGTTTACTGGGCGACAAGTGGAGTAGAAAGCCCCGAAGAAATGGTAGGGCAAAAATCCGACACCACACAAAAACGTTGCAGCTTGCCCACTCTGGTGTTATGTTTGTCAAGGGAAAGCCAATGCTTCAACTTGGATGACCTTGGAGGCTAGTGAATGACTACTGACTGAGACATATCATATATCATCCATATATATATATATTCTATGTGTATTATATACATATATATATGTAGTATGTATACGTGTTTATACATACTAGTACAGCAGTCTGACTATGACAAGGATGTTCAACTCTACTATGTGGGATATCCCCTGCAATGGGTTCAATGTTTCTATGCATATATATATAATATATAATATGTGTGTGTGTATCATTATCCTATAGTGATTGGGATTCATGGCTGCTGGAGCCCAACTTTTCAGCCCCTTGCCATCCGTTTTGGACGGCACAGCGTCCACAAGACGGCCTCACAACGGAAGAGACGACATATTGAAGCTGAGAGCGTGGCAAACCTGAAAAATGATTGCATATGTTGATTTGAGTAATTGATTACCCAAAACATTAAAAAATTCTCGTGAGATTGAATCAAAACAAGATTTGGAGTGATACAAAACTACTAAATCTTGTTGAGACATATGGGTGTGTCTGAAAATAGAGGAACTACCTCAAAATTGCCATGGCTTGTCAGCACGTTCTTCATCAAGTCATATCTATAATTATGTAGGTTGTCTCCCATTTTTGCACAAACCCATACGTACCCTCGAGAAATTTAACAATTTGCTATGGAATATATATATATATGGAAAATCACCATTATAAATACTATCAACGTGCCATTTTCCATAGCGAAGTGTTGGATTACGGCTATAGCGGCTATAGAGTCAGCTGATCTTGAAGCCCAAGGTCGGGACCTCATCGTGCCGTTGAGGGTCGATTTCCAGCATCTGCACGGCGCAATGGCAGTGATTGTTTGTTTCTGTAAGTCACTGGCTGGCAGCCACCACTACACTAGTCTATACCTACTCTCTCTATAATATAATATATCTATATATAACTACAAGTATAGCTATAGCTATAACTATATACTACTCGTACTACCAGTATCTATTGGTATCCCAAGATTCAAGATTCTTTTACAGGAAGCATGTAGAAGTATGTTCACAGGTTACAGTAAAGATCCTGGCCTCAGGAAAATAAAAACTTTCCACAAAGCAGCACAGTGAATCTGAAATTTTTGAATAGTGGCACCGGGGTAAATCTGGATGCTCTTTCCATGTGTGATTTCCTGACCCCCGTGCCTCCCCTCGAGTGCAAAGGCACTCCGCAAACTGCTGTGGACGGCCGCTTTCCTGAAACGACTGCAGAAAGTTTGCAAATACAACCAACCCATCAGCAGCGAAACTTCAATGGTCAAGTGCTCACCAAGCTTGAACAGATTGAACAAGAACTAAAAAAAACACTTGCCATACCCTTGCCACTCAGCATACAAATCTAAATACATCTACATTTCAAAGCATCTGTCTCTATATAATACATCTGTTGCCCCAGCATCCCAAGACATCCCAAGACATCCCAAGACATTTACGGCAGCAACAGGCTCGACATCCGAGGAACGCCGCTCACGATAGCGATGACTGGTTCCGGTGCGAAAGCCACCCCCGGTGGGGGGATGAAAGCGCTCCTTGAGCGGATTCACCTGGCCATGGCATCATGGGGCCGAGGGAACACCAGGTGACCGGGAGATCTACCTGGCGCAAAAAAACGTTTTTTCGGCAAGTTGAATCTTTGGAAAAGGAGATATGCACATCGATTTTTTTTCAGGAATTTGAAACTAAAATTAATCAATGATGCTTCATCAATGATGCTTCATCAATGATGTGTCATGATGTTCCTCTATTTTCCCATTAAAAAAAAAACATGTTACAAATTGGTTGGTCGCAGGACCCGTTTCGCACTTGGGGTCGTGTGAGAGTCAATGCATCTTTCGGATGGAACCTTAGCAAAGTCTCGCAGCACCAGATGGAATTGATCACCAATAAAAATGGCAAATTGAATGGCGAACATGAACGTTGAAATCATGGGATGTTCATGTTTTCCATAGTTTCCCATCATATTTTGACAAACCATGGGACCCATGGGAAATGTATTGTGGGAAATCGAGTTTTCCATAGTTTTCCTATGCAGACGTCCTGGAACCACGCTAGGATGACTGAACGATTTGTTGTGAATGGAAGCTTTGTTGTACGAATTATCCTCAAACTTGTCAAGAGGTTGTTTGAATTAAAGATCTGACCTAGTTCACTACCATTTCACTACCATTTCAAGTTCAGCCAGTTTCGGCCCATTTTCGGCTTTGTGGCATTTCAGCCAGTATGTTTTTTGAGGATTGGTTCCTCTCAGTTTTCCCATGAGTTTTCCCATGAATTTTCGACCAACCAACCCACCCGGACACGGACCTTGTGCATCGGAAATTCCACATGAAGATCCGAACTTTGCGGATCAAGCCTCGGAGCAGGCTTGGCTTAAGATGGCTATTTTGACCAATGAGAAAATGAGGATTTCACTCTGAAAAATAGAGATTTCAGCAGCAAACATAGGGATTTCACCAGCAAACATATGGATTTCACCAGCAAACATAGGGATTTCACCAATCTGATAGATGGGATTTCACCAAGACAATATGGTGCTATAGTGGGATTGCATTGGGATTATACGTTGGGATACCCTTCGGTAGGCTGGGAAATCACCAAACGAAAATCCATGGAGGTTTCTACAGCAGTTGGGAAAATCATCTAACTAAACGAGGGATTTTCCAGCACGCTATATTTGATTACCGGAGGGCAAAGGTGGCTGCTATTTGGGTGCTCACTTTCGGGGCTTCGTTGACACCCATTATATCCCATGAAATATTCCCATCATGGGTGATGAACATCCCACTGTTGCTGGTTGAGTCACCATTCAAAGACAAAGCTATATATTTCACGCAGTATATTCCCACTATATTCACATCATACATCATCATATCAGCAGTTTGTTTAAATGCACCACTGTTGCTGGTTAAATCACCATGATCCCATCTGAAAATCACCAAGTGCTCGACCTGATTGCGTCAATTTCCTCACGGAAGCATCAGATATGTTGGCTAAGTAACGCTGGTGAAGGCAAGTACTATGTAGATGTAGATGTGTGTGTGTGTGCACTTTGATCACATATTACGTTTCATGTTGTATAGTTGTTCTATTGCACTGTTATACATACAGTATAAAACAAATGATTATGATATATATATATATATTGTATATTATCATATATTTTATCATATATCATATATCGTATCATATCATATATATATATATGTATATAGGATATACAGTATCACATGTATGTATATATATACATAGATATATGAGCTTTCCCTAGGTCACTGTGCGGCTTCTCCTCTTGCGCCAAGGAGGAGGGAGGCAAGTTGGGCAAACGACCCACCAAAGGTGCCTAGGCACAACGGGAGATGTTTTGGGGTAAAATGTTTTTTTTTAATGACCATATATATATATTATGATTTATATGATAATTATCTATTGTGATTATATATGATTATATATGACTACAGTATCATGTAATTATCTATAATTTAGCCATAATAGGTTGGAGCAAGCCTGTCAAAGATGGATTAAAAATAATTAAAGATGGTCTGATTCTACAGTGCAGGGTCAACTTCGACCATTTCGATGATGTCTTGAAAAGCATAGTAATATTCAAAACAAAAAAAAACGAGAAGTGATGCACCATGGTCTTCGTAGGATTTCACTGCTCCTTTCTTTTGGGGGGTGCTTTTTGATGCTTTTTGAGGGGTCAAACGGTGAGGAAGTGGCGGGCCCAATTTTTGACCGTGGGCTTGTCACTGAGGACGCCCACATTTCGATGAGGCCTCAATATTCGTCGAGGCCGGGGGAAGTTTCACTTAAGCTAAACTTGTTGGTGAAGTCCTTGTGAGATCGCTATAATTCATCAATTTTCACAACCAACGATCATGCTTTGTTACTTACATATATGTGGTTTATCATACGTTTTTCAGGTGAAGGGTCATATTCAATTCTTCCCAGAATTACCTCCAAATCATGTATTCATACCTTAAACCGTATATATCTCTCCTGAAGGTGGTCGGTTGCCGCTTCCGGCTTGAGGCAATGACCAGGCATCGCGGGGCGACCAAGAGCTCTGCAGGGAGCTTTGCAGCGCCTGGCGTGGAAAGGGATGAATGTGGTATGGAAATCCATCCTAGAATCCCAGGCTATGGGATTTCAAACATGATGATTTTCTGGGTATGGAAATCTCTATGACTCTATCAAAATGGACTGATGAGAATTGATGACCCTCCCCCAGTTTACATCATTTTATGGCCGTGGAGGAACTTCGGCGCAAAAAATCTTCCCAATAGATTCCCCAGTTCTGCTGGATATCCCATTCGCAAATGATTCTCCCTTCCAAGAAAGATAAAATTAGATCCAGCCATGTCCAAAAAAACGTTTGGCCTTCATTCCTGGCTTCCACATCACCTCTGTCCAAATGTTGAGCCCCCAAAATGCTCAACGGGGGATGGGTCAACATTTGGTACCCCACTAATGATGACGTGATTTTCATATAATGTCAACCCGGGACACTAGGAGACCCGCGAGAAATTTGTTACACTTCGCATTGGCTTCGCTATGGCCCATAAACATACAACCAGCCCCATTAGGCCCATGGCTTTGTCAAATTACCAGAAGGTACCCTCTGGTAAACGTTTACATAACTATTGAAAATGGCCATAGAAATAGTTAATTTACCCATGTAAAAAATGGTGATTTTCCATAGTTATGTTAGTTTACCAGAAGGTAAACCCACAAAAATCCTGGCCTCAAACATGTTGGTCATTTCCTTCTGCAATTCCTGTGCAACCGACAGAGCCTTTTCAGCTGAGGCCTGGCAACCGAAGGTGAGCTGCTGATTTCTGAAAGGTAAATTAATGAAAAGAAGGTGGTTAACTGGGGGTTATTTCATATATATATATATCTATATATATATATGGGTTTCCATTCCATAAATGGGGTTATCCCACAATGGATGGTTTATGATGGAAAATCCCATACAAATGGATGATTTAAGGGTACCCCTATTTTAGGAACTCTCCATACCTACAGTTGGATGGGTGAAATTAAACCAACTTATGACATCTTATGCCCATGCCCCTTCCTGCGAGAACAACGTGGGGAAACCTGGGAGAACATCGGGAAAGCATGCCGAAAAACATGGAACCATCTGGAAATAACACGTCCAAACCGGAACAAAGATGGAAACGTGCGAAACAAAAACAAGGACATCGCTAAACACATGGTATGAACACACTGAAAACACGAAACGAACCAAGTCGACAATACCCAGTCATCCCAGGCAACGGGGTCATAAAACAATGTGCAATAGCGGTTCATAAAAGCAAACTTTATTATATGAATAATGATACCTCAATAATCAATATTTGTAGTATTGTATTGATCATATTTGCAATAATATCAATGAACATACGAATGGTACCATTAAGAATTACTAATAATCATGAAACTATCTGATGTTTCCAAGTAACTATTTACAATTTACAACATTTTACAACAATACCACTCTTAAGAATGATATATAATGTGTCCTAGTTCAGAAAATGCCTTCGCTATGTAAGATATGTAGTTTGTTTCAGTCAGTAGTTGGGAACCTTTGTAACTAACAAGAGATAATCAGATGAGAAGCTGTGTAGCTAAAGAAACGGATAAGTAGCAAATATGAGTAGTTGAGAAGCGTCCTATCTCACGCACTTTAGAAAGTGAGCACCTTAGCTGAGAAGTTTGCTATCTAACAATGTGTCAGTAACACAGAATCTTGGTATCTTAAGCTAAGAGCAAGGGTGTTTCTGTAGTTGAGAACCTTTGTAACTGCCAAAGCTTTCAAGCGTTGTCAATTCCGATGGGCAAAAAGTTATGCATTGTCGCACAACGAGGGTTTAGGAAGGAACATATATAATAATCATTACCGTTGATCTGCGATGATAAATCATGCCTAATCATCCCGTCATTCCAGTGACGTCGCGACATCAGGTCGTAACACAATCTATCCAGATTATCCCCTCCCCACTATATCCCCACCCCCTTCATATCCCACTATATCCCCCTTTTTGTTGGCTATACAAATCCCAACTTTTAACTTTTAAATCCATGAAGTATCCCCATCTCATTTCAATCCACATCTAGCATTGAGCACTATAAGTATTGATATTCATTACTACTACATGTATACAAAGTAGCAAATATGTTTAGAGGTTATCAAAATAAATCATATATATATATATATCATGTTTCAAAACATATATCAATCTAAATATAAACTAAGCAATATCATTAGTCATCTTAAAGGGGCTGTGATAGCCCCCTATCTTAGCCCATAAACACATGTATTTTTAATGTCGCATGTTATATATATATATATATGAGATTGGACATCTTGAACATGTTACTAAAAATCTTAAAGATATGTGTATATATATATATATATGTGTGTGTGTACCTCCTGGAGTATACTGAATATGTCGATTTACAAACATATTAACTAGAATGAGAATATAATAGATATCTAACTAACGATCAAACATGTAAATCTCGAATAGATCCAATAGTGACCTTATATGGCATCATTTATATAAATAGTTATTTATAATTATATATGTTATTATCAATAATATCAATAATGTGGGATTCACCCAATGCCATAAAACCATCCCAAAATCCACTATTTGGGTTTGAAAATAGGTGTTCACCCCTAAATCCCATTGTTTCTTTATGTTTCCGAAATTCTAATGGTATTTTGGGGTTACCCTCTGGTAATTTAACATAGCTATTAAAATCACATTTTTTTCATGGGTAAATCAAGTATTTCATAGTATTTCTATGGCCATTTTCTATAGCTATGTTAGTTTACCAGAGGGTACCTTCTGGCAACTTGACAAAGCCATGGGCCTAATGGGGCTGGTTGAATGTTTGTGGGGAATTCTCCTTCAACACAGCGTTTCTTTTCTGGGCAAATCATCTATGGGCCATAGCGAATCCAATGCGAAGTGTAGCAAATTTCCAGAGGGCATCCGAATGTGGTAAAGCCAATTCCATGCCACCATACCCCCTGGATTTTCAAACAAACCCATGGCTGGCTGAAACCAACCGGGCGCCTTCATCTCCGCCGCCTCCTCCTTGGCCGCCAGCGTTGCGGCGGCTGTGGCGGCCGCCAGGGCTTCGTCCGCACGCGC